AAGTAATTTTTATTATAAGATCTTTTAATTAGTTGCCCACTTAAATATAATTTTAAAAATATTAAAATATACAGATAGATATCTTTTGAGACAGAGTCACGTTTTGTCACCCTTGGTAGAATCCTGTGGTATCACAGCTCACAGCAACCTCAAACTCTTAGGCTTAAGTGATTCTCTTGCCTTAGCCTGCCGAGTAGCTGGGACTACAGGCACCTGCCATGATGACTGGCTATTTTTTTAGAGACAAGGTCTTGCCCTGGCTCTGGCTCAGTCTGGTCTCAAACTCCTGTGCTTACCTGCTTTGGCCTCCCAGAGTGCTAGGATTACAGTATGAACCACAGCACCTGGCTTAAAATATTAATATATTTAATTTATGTAAAAATATTTTCAATGTATGATTGAAGTGATGAGGACACGTAGTATACAGTTCACCCATAGACTTGAGATAACATGCATGAATCTGATAACAGATTTTTTCTTTCTTGCGTAGTTTATTTAAGAGATAAAAATTTTTGTGCTGTTTTTAATATGTAAGTATGTAACACCTTATTGGTAGTTTTACTTGAAAACTACTTGCATACTTTTTTTATATCTCAGTAGTAGGTGAACATTGATACAGAAATTGACTTGAATTTTTAAATTTGAATGCACATGTTTAAAACCATGTAGCTGTTTTGGAATTAACATCTTAAAAGTTGAATGAACTCAGTCAAAATTTATTCTATGAAAATGAGACCCTGTGGGATTTCTGTGACCGAAAATGTGAACTCTAGGAACTCACAGTAACGACTTGGACTACAGCAGTGATTCACTGTGAGTAGGGTGGACAATGCTAGGAGTATCACACTCTGCGTTTGGTTTGTTAGTCTTTGTAATTAATTCCAGAGGAACATCAAGGCTTAAAGTCATGAATAGTCCTGTTCCTTGAGACTTCATTTACTGATCTCCCCACTACTTAATACTGACATATGGCTCATCAAACGGCTGTTCCTTGGCATTACAAAAAGCAATCTGCTGTTCAGGGCGTCTGGGCCATGTGAGATCCAGGCACTGCAGTCCTCATTGGCAGCATCATGGAGCTCGCCTAGAATCCTTACAAAGTTCAGATGGAAAAAAATAGAGTAACATATCCCATTATGAACTTGCAGACTGTCCAGCAGAACCATAATGGGAAGCATATGTATATTAAGACTTTAAGAAGCTACATTAAAAAAAGATGAAAAATAGATACAATTAATTTTAACAGTATATTTCTTTAATTATTTAATTATCTTTAAATATTATAAATATGTACTCAATACCAAAACATGAATGAGATATTTTGCATTGTATTCTTTATGTCATCTTTGACATATCCAGTGTGCATTTTTTGGACGAGTCACAGTTTGAGTGCTCAGTAGCCACAGTGGCACAGTATTGGATATTGCATTGCACTGGGGGAAGCCAGGACACTCTCTGCATTTACCTATGAATTTTGAGGTGGCAGCATTGCTTCTACAGAAGATCTTTTCCAATTTTAGCATAGATGCTCAAATCTTTATTTCCTTGAGAAATGTGGCTCCCATTTTATGTCTTTTTTCCAATAATTTAGAAATTTTAGGATATGGTTTTCCTTCCTTTTTCTTTGTGTCTCAAGTAGTGGAGGGACATTGCTTTAAGTTGGGAGGTTGAGTTTGTTAATTCAGTATATGTTACAGTTGCTGAGGGAGCTGTTTGTACACATGTGACTGCTCCCCATCTTAATTTAGACGTTGCATGTTAAGGTCTTTGATTCATCTCCTCCCTAGTTCATGGTTACTGACTTGGCAAAATGGGCCTGTTGCCTTCAGTCTGTGTTCTGTGGCTCCGTGTGCCTTAATGTTTAGAAAGTTGAGGTCTTTTGTAGATTTACATCTGAGAGTTGAGTGGGAAGTTACTCTCAGAATACAATAATGATTTGTTGATTAATAAGCCTTTATTTCTTGCCAAATGTTGGAGTATTTGTTTCTGCTTTTAAGGATTCCTAACATATTGGTTCCAAAATATTTGGGATCTTATGCCAAGTGTTGTCTTAAATATTTAGCATGTTGTTTTCTTTAAGCTTGAATATTCCAAGCGCAGCTGAATGATCCTGTGAAATTGTGCAGCATCACTATTGTTTCAAAGCTGAGCCTTTTATTCTCTGCCAAATTTTAGTTTACAGCTGCTCTTTCTCTGGCAAGATTTATTCACTCTCAATAGACATCTAAAATGCAAATACTGATTCAGTCTTAATAATAAGGGGAGGAATTGTGGCACTATATTTGGAAAATGAGTAAGGAAACATTTTAAGGCAATTATTTTAATATATTCTTCTGTTCCACTACAAATGAAACTTCAAAATACATTTATTTAACATTTAAGGTGATATAAAAAGAGAGAAAAGAAGTTATGAAAGTTTCAAATATACTTTCTAAGGTTATGATAATTACGATCTATTTTCTATCCCCAAACTTTTAGTCACAGTAAGAAGATAAATGTTTTTTTTTTTTTTTTTTTTGAGACAGAGCCTCAAGCTGTCCCCCTGGGTAGAGTGCCGTGGCATTACAGCTCACAGCAACCTCCAACTCCCGGGCTCAAGCGAGTCTCTTGCCTCCGCCTCCCAAGTAGCTGGGACCACAGGCGCCCGCCACAACGCCCGGCTATTTTTTGGTTGCAGCCATCATTGTTGTTTGGCGGGTCCGGGCTGGGGATTCGAACCCGCCACCTTAGGTGTATGTGGCTGGCGCCTTAGCCGGTTGAGCTATAGGCGCCGAGCCAGATAAATGTTTTTGAAGCATGATTTCAAACATTTCTTACTGTTATCTCATGTTGTTATGTTCACATATATTATTCTAAAAGGCTGATTTTGAGATTGATTGTATATAATATAAATATAAAATTAATAGGGACTTTTGTGATGTTTTTCCCCCTCAAGTGTTTTTGAGATTTTCTTTATAGATTATCTTTTTCTTTTTTGTTTTTTAAGCAGAAAGAGGATTTACATTATTGTATTCTTGGTGATATGGTCTCAAAAAATGCCTGATCTAGGACCTTCAGTTTTCTTACCTGTAAAATGAGATTATAACAGTACCTGTCTCTTAAGGTTGTTCTAAAGATTAAGTGGATTAATCATTATAACTCACTAAGAATAGTTTATGGAGCATGGTAAGCATTATGTGGTTATTAAATATATAAAAATGGCATTGTTTTAGGAAAGATTTTTCAAAGACTATCCTAAAGCTTTGCTTAGCTGATATAGTATTTCTATTACTATTCTATTCCCACATTTCTTTAACTAAGTGGTGCTAATTAATCTCCATTCTGAGTTTTGCATAGAATTTATTAAAAACTGTTACTGAATGTGGTTTTCAACTACTGATTTTTAAAGTCTGCCATGACTTGAGCCACCACATGAATATTCAATGACAGTAATGATTTGAAAACTCACTGCTACATTACAACAGAAAATAATCCTCCCATTTTCCAATGAGAACTTCTTATAGCATCCCCTTCTGTAAACTTTTTTTTTTCTTTCCACACGTTCCAATCAAGCTTATTGCTGATGCACTCTGGCATTTTATGGGAAGCATTTGGTTAATTTTAAGGTGGTGATTTGTACTTAATTGTCATTTATCAGCCAACTGGCACCACAGGCAGAGCTCGGTCAAATAACCTGTCCTTGCAGACTAGACTAGTGGTGCCTCTGGCTCCCTGGGCGGCTTTCACACTGAGAGAGGGACCAGGAGGGGAGAGAGACACTCGTTTGGCATCTTTACTTAGCTTTGAGAAGAGGCCACTGGCCAGAAACAGGGCTTGATGGCCCTTGTTCTGGTTCTGGGAGTAGTTAGTTGGCATAGATCTTAGTCCAATACCAGTGCCAAGACCTTAGAGAACTTTGGAAATTTTCTTTGATAAAAGCTGGAATTGTCCACAGCTGTCTATAAATTCAGTTATATTTTGTGTTTATGGCATTAGCAATCTCACAAAATAGAAAATGAAATTGTGTAGTCATTTATAAATCTGGTATAAAGTTCACACATATACATTGAAGGCTGACAATATAGATGAATTTTACTTTCAGCTTTAAGTTTGTTTTCATTTACAGTGAGATTTCTTTTACTGTTCTTCTTGTGGTACATAATTTCCCAAGTTTAATAATAATCTCTTATGGTTTAATTGCCTTTTATATGGAATGATCACTTGTGGCCCTTTTCGTCCTAAGTAATGATTGCTCAGTTTTCTTGTATTTCTTAACAGAGTATTGTGTTCTGTGGGAAGGTACAAAGGTGGAGGAGGAGTCAGGGAGTGAGTGGGTCACAGAGCAGGAAGGGACACATACACACATGCACACACTCCAAACACACATCTAAGAAAGTTTTGCGCTCACAGATACTCTCAGAGGAGGGCCTGGGTCCAGATGCAGAGGCTTATGCGCCCACACACCTGGGCTAATACACAGACACAGGCGGACACACACACATTTACAAAGAGGCTTCAGTGAAAGAGAGTTAAGACGCGGGGGGGGGGGGGGGGTGCGGCTGAGAAGAAGGAGGGAACCAGAGAAAGGAGAGCAGGAAAATGATGGAGAGAAAGGAAGTGGGCCTGGAAAGGGCGTGCAAATCCAGCACGTCGGAGCCGCGTGCATGTTGAGGGAGTCAGTGTGTGCATGTCAAGGGAGTTAGCATGTGTGTGTGGAGGCAGTGCGTGCGTGTTTGCATGTCGAAGGAGTGTGTGCGTGCGTGTCGAGGCAGTGCGTGTGTGCGTGTGGAGGGAGTCAGTACGTGCGTGCGTGTCGAGGCAGTGCGTGCCGAGAGTCAGTGCGTGTGTGCGTGTGGAGGGAGTCCGTGCGTACATGTGTGTCGAGGGAGTCCGTGCGTGTGTGTGTGTGTGTGTGCCGAGGGAGTCAGTGCGCGCGCGCGTGTGTGTGTGCGTGTGCGTGCGGGTCTGGGCAGCAGGGCCGGCAGGAGGAAGGATGCTGACTCGATTGCTCTCCTCTGTAGTATTCAGGAAATGCTGACAGGCCAGAGGCTCTGTCACTCGGAATCTCACAACGACAGCGTCCTGGCGGCACTGAACCAGCAGAGGAGTGACGGCATCCTCTGCGATGTCACCCTGATCGCCGAGGAGCAGAAATTCCACGCGCACAAGGCGGTCCTGGCAGCGTGCAGCGACTATTTCCGGGTAAGTCTCCGAGTTGCGGTGTTGATGAGCAGAGGACGGCAGTGTTTCTGGACCTCTCTCAACCGCGACACAATTAGCTGGGCGCCTCCAGGGTTGCGAACACTGGGGGCCTGCGTTCTTTCCTGGGTCCTGTTGGGGTGCTCCCTGGGCTGGACAGCCGGGTGTCCCTCACGGAGAGCAGACCACCTCTCCTGGCGTCTCAGGAGGGGCGTTTGGCACTTTACCAGCGTGAGAAAACGTGGCACTGTGGCGCTCCATATGGGGATGTGGGCTGGGGGAGGGATGTTTGTGGATTCAGGATCAGAAAAACACAGTCTGTAATACAATTTGTTAAAATAAAAATGCTTCTAAATGCATGTAGTATTTCTGACTTTGAATTTTCTTTATGTGTTCTTAATGCTTCCTAATTATTTGCTTCAGGAACAGACATGCATTGGCCTAATGGACCTTTATGGTTGACACATGTGGGTGAAGACACATTGGCTTGTTTAGCAGAACTTTGGAGTCTGGCTCCCAGCAGCCAATGCGATGTAGTGATAAGATTGTTGCTTTATGAAAGTGAAAATGTACAGTATGGTTATAGCTTGTTAAATGCCACTTACTTAGCACTTCCTGTGATTCAGGGGTGGACAAAGGATTTTGTATGCATATATCATTTAATCCTCACAACAGCCCTTTGTACAAACATAAATGCACATGATTTATAAAGAAAATGAATAAGGAATATCATTTTTGCATAATAAGGAAACTGAATCTGAGAGACTCAGATTTGTGTAATTTGTGATAACTCACAGGGTAAATTAGAAGTCACGCAGTTCCTCAGTGTCAGATCTGGAATTTAAATCACATTTGACTCTTAACCAGCATGCTGTTTTACCTCTTATGTGGATATAAGAAAGCAAACCTGGACAATTATTAACTACAGTTTTTTGAAGTATTAATCTCTGAAAATATGCATGATTTTAATTATTTATCATTATTTAATTTATTTTTCAATGTTATTTTAGCTAACTAGTGGTTAGGTTATGCTTTTGAAACAAAGCAGTATGAATCTCTCTATAAATGAGAATATAAATTCAGCAGTTATGTTTTAGAAAATTTCTGTCACCAAAGTCTCTAAATGATACAGAAACCAACTTAGACCCTGGGGCAATTTGTTGGTTGGTTTGGATATTTTCAATAATCTTATTTCTGATGTTTAAGAAATAATATCCTCTGTATTCCTCTGCCAACCAGCAGTCACAGGGAATTTTCTAAGATGCCAAATTATAAAAGAAACCTTTTTTAAAAATTGCTTTAAATGTGATAAAACTGAGTAATGTAGAGGATAAAGAGGCAATTATTTGAAATGTCTGTTTCTAAAATAAAAAGTAGAGATTTAATTCTAAACTGCTGAAATGAAGCAGAATATCTGTAAAGTAATCTTGTAGTTCCATTAATATAATGATACATTTTACACACCCTCACATTGTCAGGTATTAATCTTCCAGAAAGGTTATATTATTCAGAGGGGCTTTGAATCAACAAAACACTTTAGATTGCGTGGACATTATATAATGAGTTTTGTCTTTTTATAGGCCATAATATAGCCTTGGAGCTAGCTTCTCTCCACTTAGGTCTCTGCCTATTGGGTTTTGAATTTGACTTTGGGAAATGGTTTGATTTTGTGCATATGTTTATGTGTGTGAGAGCGAGGAGAGAAGGTGTGAGAGTGCATGCACGCAGGTGTGAGAAACCATTTCACTTGTTGGTATTTGACAGGCTGCTATTCCTAGGCGGCTATTCTTAGGTTTTCATGTCTTCAGCCATAATGTCTCTTATACTTTGGCTATGATACCTATTACAGACCTGTGATGAAAATTTCATTTGTATTTTGCAGGTGAAGAAACTAAAATGTAATGGTTTTAATTACTTGTCCAAAGACTGCCAGATACTGAGTAGAACAGCTGATTATCACCCGTCTGTGTCCCAGACTACCAAATTTTTCCATTTAAGCTATGTGCCCTGCTGGATCCACACACAGTTGCTTCAGTCTCACAACCTGCTTGTAAAATAAAATTTCAACGACTTGCACACTAATTGTTCAGATGGAGAAACCAAAACAAAGTAGGAACAATTAACATTTAACTCTTTTCCAGGCACTGTGCTAAGTGCTGGAGTTACAATAGTGAACCAGGCATAGACTACACCCTGTGGAGCTTGCAATGTTGATATTATACTGGAAGTAATTTTTGCTTTGTACCACAGTATCTTTATTAAATAGTTTTTGCTGTAATGACATACCATCCCTAAACTTAGAAGTCAAATAGTTCTTCTAGTCTGCCAGCTCGTTGATCTTTGCTGGATTTGTTCTTGCATTAGTGATTAACTGGAGGCTTGGTTGGAGGCTAGAGGATCTAAGCTGGCCTTGTTTACATGTCTACTGATTAGGAGGCTGTTGGCTGAGGTGATAAGGGAAATTGGGCCATTTATTTCTCACAAACAGGCTAATCCTAGATTTTTTCACATGACAACTAAATTCTCAGAATGGCAAGAGTGCAAATCTCAATGTACAGGTTCTTTTCAGACTTTTGTTTGTGTAATGTTTGCTAATATCTCTTTAGCCAAGGAAGTGACAAGGCCAAGCCCAGAGTTAGCAGGAGAGGTATACTAAAGGGCATGGATGGAAGAAGGGGAAGAATTTATTGCAGCCTACCACTGTCAGGAACTATCAAGCGACTGATTTTATCTTACTTGCAAACTAACTGATCAGCTTACCACAGTATTATGCATGTTGGTAGAAGACTCAAGACTCCTTAAGTCAGAAACAAAAGATAGCTTATTACAATCACAGCACTTTCTGAGTCAGAGCATTTTTTCCAAAGTCCCAATTCCCACAGGATGATGCAAAGATGGCCAAGTTACATTATTGCACACAGAGTGGGTTGTGTTACAGGAAAGGATCATTGAAATCAGAGAACAAGAATCTTTTATGGTGGGTGGTAAACATGTCTGTCCTTTGCTATAGAGAGAGACATTATTATACTGGGCACTGAGCATGCCTACCCTTTGCACTGCAAAGAGACATTGTTCTATGATTGTAAGCAAACCTGCCCTTTGTTCTGGAAGGCTGTAGAAACATCCTTAAAAAGAAAGTTTAGAACAAAAGGCACTTACCTCACAATATGCAGAAATCCAAGAGACCCGTGGAAAACTGTCTCCTATCAGCCATATGCTCTAAATGAAAATTATGTTTGTTTTCTTTGTCCTATGCTCTACCACCCTAAAATACCTGGAAACAGCATTTTGTCTTAGTAATTTCTTTGTCTCTGAAAACTCTTATAATATTGCCTTGTGCTTTATAATTGCTTAATAAGTATTTAAGTGAATGAAGAAGTGTTTTCTAATTGTTGGTATAATTCCATGTGTATTTTAATTCTTAAGATCCTAAGTATGAAAAATATGTGAATTACATATGGATTTTTTCCTTTCTTATGTGATCTGTTCAAGTTAATTAAGTACTTTGATGTAATTAGATTCTTATACTCTGATATCTAGCAGTTTATTTTGAAGCTAAAGTAATTGGTGTTCTGATTTAGGGAAGGTGGGACTACAAGAGTGATAAAGGCCAAGCTTTGATATAAACTATTCCTTTATATTGACCTGAGAGTTTTTCTTAAAATGTGACTAATGAGTGAGGAGTTGAGTGAAAGTACTATGACTTCCTGTGGTCAACAACCTTTTAAAAGAAAGTGTAGGCTGGGTGTGCTGGTTCACACCTATAATATTAGCACCCTGAGAGGCGAAGGCAGGAAGATTGCTAGAGCTCTGGAGTTCAAGACCAGCCTGAGCAAGAGAGACCCTGCCTTTACAAGAAATAGAAAAATTAGCCAGGCATTGTAGTGGGCACCTGTAGTCCCAGGTACCTAGGAGTTTGAGGCAGGAGCATGGCTTGAGTCCAGGAGTTTGAGGTTGTGTGAGCTAGGCTGATGCCATGGCACCCAAGCCAGGTCACAGATTAAGACTCTGTCTCAAAAAGAAAAAAAAGACAAAAAAAGGTAAAATATAAAAACACATTTTCAGCCAAGTAATAATGCTTTTTATAAAAAAAAATAATAAAAATTTTAGGCTTAATTTTAGCAGTATGGGGATGGCATATGACAGCTATAAGCAGCTGAACCCAGAAATGAGACCTTGAGGGAATGGAGCAGGAGTCCTCAAACTTTTTAAACAGGGATTTGGCAGTTCACTGTCCCTCAGACCGTTGGAGGGCCTGACTGTGGGCCCTGGGACGAGTTGGCTGCTAAGCAGGACAGGCAGTGGAGGCAAAAACACACGATGGGCCAGATAAATGTCCTCGAGGGGCCGCAGTTTGAGGATGCCTGGAATGGAGCCTGGGAGGGAGAGAGTTTAGATCAGGCTTATTGGAAAGAAACAGCAACCTGCCTGGACAGTGCTAAGATGGTGTCTGCACCTGGGGATAGTTAGAGACCTCTCTTATATGGGGCTGTAGGGGTGAGTAAATTGCCCAGAGGGCTTTGGTGAGTTAGGGTCTTTTGGTATGAACTTCAAGGGTAGGGCTAACTAGGTGAGTCTTTTATGTTCTTTGTCTTAGGAGGATAGGAGGGGGAGGAGGGGAACGGTTCCGTGGGGCTGCATTAGGTCTCCCAGCAGCATAGTATTAGTCAAATGCTGTAACTGAGTTAGACCAGAGACTTCTTTTATAAAAGTGCAAAGAAGTACTGGAAGGAAGGAAGAGATAAGCTTGGGAGTCAGATCTGAATTTGAATCTAGCGCCAAGAACTGTATTTATCTGTTCACCATTGTATCCCACAGTACCTGGCAAGTAATAGGTACTATTTTAATTAACATTTGTGGAGTTATCCATTCCTTTCACTATCTGTGAGTGTAGACAAGTCATTTTACTACCACAAATCTGTGTTTTTTCCATATGTAAATTGATGACTATCAATCACAGCTCATGGGATAGGTTGGCAGAATTGAAATGAGGTAAGGTATCT